AGAAATACAAAGGATTGTAAAAAAAAATAACTAAGAACAACTCTATTCCAACAAACTGGACAACCTAGACGAAATGGACATATTCCTAGAAAAATACGATCTTCCAAAACTCAAGAAGAATCAGAAAACTTGAATAGGCCGATAACTACTGATGAAATGGAAGCAGTAATCAACTTCCAGCAAACAAAAGCCCTGGTCTGGACGGCTTCACAGGGGAGTATGACCAAACATTCAAAGAAGAACTAAAACCTATCCTCATAAGACTATTCCATAAATTTCATGAGGAAGACACACTTCCAAGCTCTTTAAAATCCCAAAACCAGATATAGACAACACAAAGAAAGATAATTACAGGCCAATATCCCTGATGAATATAGATGCTAAAATCCTCAACAAAGTATTAACAAATTGCATCCAGCAATACAATAAAAAGATCATACACCATGACCAAGTGGGATTTATTCCAGGAATGCAAGCCTGGTACAATATCCTCAAATCAATAAATGTGATATATCACATAACCAAATTGAAAGACAAAAATCACATGATCATATCAATTGATGCAGAAAAACCACTTGACAAAATCCAACACCCTTTTTTGATTAAAAACTCTCAACAAAATGGGAATAGAGGGATCATACCTCAACATAATAAAAGCCTTACATGACAATCCTACAGCCAACATCATACTCCGTGGGCAAATACTAAAATCATTTCCCCTAAGAACAGGAACAAGACATGGATGGATGCCCACTCTTACCACTCCTGTTCGACATAGTACTGGAAGTGCTAGCCATAGTGATGAGACAAGAAGAGAAAATAAAAGGTAACCAAATGGAAAAGAAGTAAAACTGTCATTATTCGCAGATGATATGATATTGTGCACAGAAAACCTTAAAGATTCCATCAAAAACCTACTACATTTAATAAATGAATTCGGCAATGTTGTAGGATACAAAATTAACACCCAGAAATCTATGGCCTTTTTTATATACCAATAATGAACTCACAGATAGAGAAAATAAAAAATCAATCCCATTTAACACTGCAATAAAAAATTAAGATACTTAGTAATAAACTTAACTAAGGAGGTAAAAGACCTGTACTCAGAAAAACTACAGGATGTTGAAAAAAGAGAGGAATATATAAACAAGTGGAAGAATATACCGTGTTCATGGATCGGGAGAATCAACATCATTAAAATGTCCATATTACCCAAAGCAATGTATAGACTCAATGTAATCCCCATTAAAATACTAATGGCATATTTCACAGACGTAGCATAAACCCTGCAAAAATTTATATGGAATAAAGAAAAGACCCCAAATAGCCGCAGCAATCCTGAGAAAGAACAAAGTTGGAGGGATCACAATACCAGATATCAAGCTGTATTACAAAGCCACTGTTTTCAAAACAGCTGGTACTTGCACAGGAACAGACATATAGACCAATGGATCAGAATAGAGACATCAAAAATTGACCCACACCAATACAGTCAATTAATATTTGAGAAAGGAGGCAAGAGGATACAATGAAGTCAAGAGAGTGTCTTCAATAAATGGTGTTGAAGCCATAGGCAACAAAATAGCAGACATTTGTCACAGAAATATGTTTACTGATATGTCGTAGAAAATAAACAAATGGGACTACATCAAAATAAAAAGCTTCTGCATAGCAAAATAAACCATCAACAAAACAACAAGAAAGCCCACTGCATGGGAAAACATAGTTGCCAATGTTATCACCGATAAGGGTTTAATCTCCAAAATATATGAGTACCCATGCAACTTAACAAAAGGAAGATAAACAATCCAATCAAAAAATGGGCAAAGGACCTAAATAGACACTTCTCAAAAGTGGACACACAGAAGGCCAAGAGGCATATGAAAAAATGCTAAGTCACTAATCATTCTAGAGATGCAAATCAATATGACAATGAGGTATCACCTCACACCCGCCTGAATGGCTACCATCAACAAAGCAACAAATGACAACTGTTAGCATGGATGTGGAGAAAAGGGAACACTGCTGATGGGAATGCAGACTGGTGCACCCACTGTGGAAAACAGTATGGAGCTTCCTCAAAAAATTAAAAATGGGCCTAACTGATTTGGCTTAGTGGATAGAGCGTCGGCCTGCGGACTGAAGGGTCCCAGGTTTGATTCCGGTCAAGGGCATTTACCTTGGTTGTGGGCACATCCCCAGTAGGGGGGGTGCAGGAGGCAGCTGATTGATGTTTCTCTCTCATCGATGTTTTTAACTCTCTATCCCTCTCCCTTCCTCTCTGTAAAAAATCAATAAAATATATTTAAAAAAAATAAAAATGGATCTGCCATTTGACCCAGTCATACCACTTCTAGCAATATATCCCAAGAAATTAGAAACACCAATCAGAAGAACATATGCACCCCTATGTTCATAGCAGCACAATTTACAATAGCTAAGATTTGGAAACAGCCTAAGTGCACATCAGCAGATGAGTGGATAAAAAAACTTTGGTACATCTACACAATGGAATACTAAATTAAAACACAAATAGTATTCCTGAATAGAAAAAAAATACTTTAAAAATAACATATGTATCATGTAGAGACAGAGAAGCATCCATCAGATGCTCAAAACTCAGAGGGAAGGTAGGGGAGGGTGGGGGTGAGGGGGAGAGATCAATCAAAGAACTTGTATGCATGCATATAAGCATAAATGATGGATGTGGACAACAGGGGGTGAAGGTGAGGGCAGGATTGGGGGGATGAGAAGACATTGGGGGGATAAGGACACATTTGTAATATCTTAATCAATAAAGGGAAAAAATATGTGATATATCTATACAATGGAATACTACACTGCTGTAAAAAAGAAATAACTCTTACCATTTGCAACAGCATAGATGGACCTGGAGAGCATTATGCTAAGCGAAATAAGCCAGTCAGAGAAAGGTAAGTATCATATGATCTCACTCATTTGTGGAATATAATGGAACATAAACGATGAACAAAAATAGATCCAGAGACACAGAAGCATCAAACAGACCTTCAAACCTCAGAGGGAAGGCAGGGGAGGATAGGTAGGGGAGTGGTTTAGAAATCAAACAAAGAACTTATATGCATGTACGGATAACAAATGGACTTAGACAACAGGGGGGTGAAGTCCATTGCTGGGGGTGGGGGTTGGGAGAGGACAATGGGCAAAAAAGGGGACATTTGTAATACTTTCAACAATAAAGAA